AAGAGGCGTCAAGATGACCCCGGGATGGCTTCAGAGAGGCGTAAGCCGAGGCTCACAGAGGCCCAAGGCTGCCCGAAGAGGGCCCAAAGAATTGAAAATCCGTTGTATCAATGTTTTTGGTTTTCTCGCCTTGTCGCTTCCGATTGGCTCTTGAGGCATCAAGATAGGCCCAGGACGGCCCCAAATGAGTCCACAGACGAGTCCCAAAGATGGCACAGATGACTGATCCTAGACGACCCGGAGGTTTGAAAATCAAAAAACAAATTGGAAATACAATGTTTTCGGTCTTCTCGCCTTTTCGCTTCTGGTCGGCTCGGGAGGCGTCAAGATAGGCCCAGGATGGCTCCAGAGTGGCGCAAGCCGAGGCCCACAGAGGCCCAGGGCTGGCCGAAGAAGGCCCAGATAATTGAAAATCAATGAAGCCCATTGGAAAAACAATGTTTTGGCCTTCTCGCTTTTTCGCTTACGATCGGCTCTTGAGGCGTCGAGATATCCGCAGGACGGCTCAGCCCCAAAGAGGCCTAACCAAGAGGGCCCGGAGAGTCGAACATCAGAGAAAACCCAAGGCGCGAGACAGGCCCGAGGATTCGAACTTCGTTTGGGGGGGGCTCAGGGGGGGTGCGCTCTTTCTGGGGTCTTCAGCCTAACATAGATGAATACATGTATACATGTATGTGTATATATATATATATATATATATATATATATACCGGAGTAGGCCGGAAGCGGGCCCAGAACCTCGGCCTTGGCGTGCCATGGGGGGGCAGGGGCCCCACGAGCGCCTTCATGGCTTCCATAGTGGCCCTGTGGGCGCACAGGTAACCCAAAAATTGATACGATTGTCGACCGAATCGATCCCGCACACCCCGAAAGCGCCGAAGATGTCATGTGAACGGCCCCCGAAGGCTTCAGGCTGCGCCAGGACGGCCTCGGGCAGGCTTCAGTGGGCGCCCGAGGCCCCAGACGAGTGCCCGGGGAGCTACAAATCATTGATTCCTCATGGTTTTTCCATGTTTTGGCGGTCCACCATGTGTCGAGTTCCTGGCATGGCAATCGCGGACGGCCCAAAAGGCCCACAAGGCCGCCCCAAGACGGGCCACGAGGCCCCCAGGAGAGCCCCTGGACGGCCCAACAGCGCCCAGGGGTGCCCAAGACGGCCCCAGAGGGCCACAAAACGGCCCCAAGAAGTGCTCATTCAAGAGGGGGAACATGAACCGAAATTTCTAGCCTTCGTCCTAAGAGCCCCCGAGAGAGGCTTCCGCGAGGCCTGAAGCGGACCCCAAGAGGTCCCCACGACGCCCCAGAAGGCACCAGAACAGCCCCAAGAGGCCCAACAACGGCCCCGACGAGGCCTCCGCCGCGATGCCTCAAGAAGAGCCAAGAGCCCCCCAAGACGCCCCAAGAGAACTCCTTCGTAGCCATTTAGGCTCAAGTGCTTCGGTCCAAGCCGTGGAACTTGCCATACGTATGATTCTTTCCGTTCGCGCCAAGCACGTCAGCTGACACGTCGCTAGAACCTTAGACAGCGCCAGATGGTCTCAAGACGCTCAAAGAGGGGGGCTCCAGACGGCCCAACGCTCCCAAAAGGCGCCCAACAGGCCCCGATAAGCCCCAGGATGCTACTCTGAAGGCGGCCCCAAAGGGTTCCAGGAAGTCTCAAGCCGAACACCGACAGGCCCAGGAAGTCTCTAGTTACACACCCATCGGGGCTCAGTGATTTGTACCTTGCTGCCTTTTCGCCTCCGATGGTCCGCTGAGGCCTCCAGATCGCCCCAAAGAGGCCCCACGACGCCCCCATAAAGCGCGCAAGAGGCCCCACGAAGCCCAATGCGCCCTCAACGGGGGCCCGAAATCGCTCCCGAGAGGTGCCAGACATCCATCAAGGCGGCCTCAGAGAACATCTAATCGCACCCAGGCATCTACGACAAACCTCCGGTACTTCCCTCCTGGGCTTCCAAGAACGCCCCAGAAGGATTTCAAGATGCCTCGGGACGCTTCCGACACAGGCAAGAGAGCTTCAAGACAGCCCACGAGAGCCTCCAGACGGTCCAAGAAGCCCGCGCCAGCCCCCAAGAGCCAGGAGACCTCTCAGAGGCCCCCAAGACCGCCGACGAGAGGGCCAAGGATTTCCAAACCCACGACGCCCCAAGAGGGTCTCCTAGAGGACTCCTCCGCGACTCCCATTGAGCTCGTCGTGAAATCCTTGAAAGCACAAAGCATTTGCAAATGCTGTATTCTTAGCCGCGTGGTTTTTCTGCACTGGCTGCCGACGCCAATCAGACCAGCCAGCCATCCGCGGGGCCATGGAATGGGTGCCCCCAACTGGGCGGAGGGGCGCTATGCGGCACCTTGCAAGGGAGGCTTTCGGTGGAGCGAAGACTTGTGGCCACCAGGAATAATACAACGCGCGCGAGGAACTCTGCGAGGCTTCCGGCGGTGAACAGGCTCACGGCTCACCGCCTGCACCCAGTTGTTTCGAATTTGGGGTTTCGGTGCCAACGGGGCCGCAATGATTTCGCGACCGAACGCAGATGGGATGGCCGCGCACCCAAAGGAACGGTGGACATTGCCATGGAGACGCTCTGGATGGCGCGAGCAATGGAAGGCTGGAAATGGAAGCTGTCAAATTCGATGTCCCATGGTCCATGAGGCCCTTCCAGCATGGATGTAGCTTTAAGTCGGGTATGTCCCTCTACAGGAGGAGTATTCCAAATCATCAAAAAGTAGTCTGGGGAAGGTTTTCTCCAGCCATCCTGTGGTGTTGGGTCCTCGTTTTGAAGAGACGGTCCCCGCGTTCTCCTCCTTCCTCCTCCCCCTCCTCCCTCTTCCCCCTCCTCCCTCCCTGCGTTTCACCCACCCAATACAGCGCTTCGTGGCCCCATGGGGAGCTCCACCGACGGCCAAAGTGCTACCGCCCGCATGCGTCCCCCCCACCGAGTACAGCGTTTCATGGCCCCGTAGGGAGCTCCACCGAAGGCCCCAGTGCTACCGCCCGCAGGCGTCGCCCCCACCCAGTACAGCGCTCCGTGGCCCCATAGTGAGCTCCGCCGAAGGTCCCAGTTTTACCGCCCGCATGCGTCCCCCCCACCCAGTACAGCGCTTCGTGGCCCCATAGGGAGCTCCACCGAAGGCCCAAGCGCTACCGCCCGCATGCGTCCTTCCCACCCAGTACAGCGTCCCGTGGCCCCATTTGGGGCGCCACCGACGGCCCCTGTGCTACCGCCCGCATGCGTCCCCCCACCCAGTACAGCGCTTCATGGCCCCGTAGGGAGCTCCACCGAAGGTCCCAGCGCCACCGCCCGCATGCGTCCCCCCACCCAGTACAGCGCTTCGTGGCCCCAAGGGGAGCTCCACCGGCGGCCCAAGCGCTACCGCCCGCATGCGTTTTTCCCACCCAGTACAGCGTCCCGTGGCCCCATAGGGAGCTCCACCGACGGGCCCAGTGCTACCGCCCGCATGCGCTCCCCATTCCAGTATAGCGATTTGTGGCCCAATTGTGAGTTCTACCGAAGGTCCCAGCGCCACCGCCCGCATGCGTCCCCTCCACCCAGTACAGCGCCTCGTGGCCCCATGGGGAGCTTCACCGAAGGCCCCAGTGCTACCGCCCGCATGCGTTCCCTCCCACCCAGTGCAGCGCTTCGTGGCCCCATAGGGAGCTGCACGAGCTCCAACGAAGAAGATATATTCACAATTGCTGTATTCACAAGTGCATATGGTTGGGTCCTTCGCCAGGATAGTTTGATTTTTGCGTATTTTTGAATATTTTTGGTTTGGAAATTTTTCATTGTTCGTCCAAAATGTGCTTGTAGGAGGACATGCCCGACCTGAATGCAGCTCCGGGGGCCAAAGTGCCACATGGGCAGCCAGCGAGGCTCCACTGGCAAACGTGCAGGCCCAGCCACGGCGGGGGGGAGCAGGTGGCTGGCGCACGTGGCAGCAGGGCCCCATTGTCAAATGGCTTCTTTGGAGGCCAGGTCTGGGCGGCCAAGGAAGTCCGAGTCCGATTCTCGATTTGACAGCGGGGGCCCACCGTCACACGGACCATCGGGGAGGCAGGCCGAGGCGCGGGCGTCGAGCTCCCCACTGTCAATCGGGGGGGCGAGTCGCGGGAATTGCACTCCGATTGCCTGTTTGACCGTGGGGGGCCACATTCAAATGAGCAATCGGGGGGGGCTTGGCCGAGGCGGGAGATTTGAGCTCCGATCGCCCAATTGTCAAATGGGTTATCGGGGTACTCGATTGTTGATCTTATAATGGGATCCCCACTGTCAAGGAGGGAATCGAAAGGGAACTGTTGCCGATTGCCCGTTTGACTGTGGGTATCCCAACATCAAACGGGCACAGTTCGCTCAGCACTTTCCGCTGCAATGTCTGGGGGGGATTGTTTTTTGGGGAGAATCTCACACGTATTGATGACCCCAAAGGGGTCGACGGACTCCGTGATTGCCCCACAAACCCGTTGTTATCCACCTGAAGGCCTGGCACCACGCGCTTAGGGTGGCCTGCGCACGGGGCACTTTTCCTTTGGTATTCCAGTTGTGTGGATTCGTGCAAAGCCTATTGACAAAGATTGCGGATTCGGCTAGAAGCTAAGCGCGCGCGTAGCGCGTGCGTAGTTCTAGTATTCATGTTGTTAAAATGTGGAGGAGGATGAGGAGAAGGGGGAAGTAGTACACCCGCGGGGCGCAAAAAGAGCTGTGCGCGTCGGGGCCCGCGCTGCAAAGGTGTCTCTTTCCAGGGCGACGGCGCGAGAGCGCGAAGGTATGCGCGCGTCGCGCATGACAGGGTGCGACGTGCGAGGGAGGGAGAGAGGGATGGGGGAGGTGGATGAGGAGGAAGGAGGAGAAGGGAGGAGGGAGGAGGGTGGAGAGGGAGGAGGTGGATGAGGACGTTTTCAGCAGGAGGAGTGGCAGACAGCAACAGAAAGATGAACAGCAGCACCAGGTTGACGGACAGGAAGGCTGCTGTAGCCGTTGTTGTCCCCCCTTCCACGAGCGCAGGCGCTGCTCCCGCCGAGAAGCTGCCGGCTATCGCGGGGGCCAAGGCGCCCCCCGCCTGGCGCGGTCAGCACTGCCGACGGTTTGGTCCGATGATCGTTGAGATCATTTACGTATGCCGATCGCAGGCCAGAGTCTTCAGTCTGTAGCCGCGCCTTCTTGACCGTCTCGCTCGCATTGAAGAAGCCACGCGGCCATTGCGGCCAGAGTGCAGGCGGAGGTGGCTGCGAGTCTGCCCGCTCGTGAAGCAGCGGGCGAATGAGCCGTACTGCATCGAAGTAATGTTCACGGGTGCCATTTCTCTCATTCTCGACTTCTGTTCCGCTTTCTTGTTCCTGTTCTGGTGCTCCCCAGACACGTCCCAAGCACACCCTTCTCTTCTCCATCTGGCATAATTGCTCCTGCTTGTTCCCTCAACATTTCCTTCCTCCATCGTCTCACCGCGAACCTTATGCTTACGCCTGGCTAGAACCTAAGCGCGCGAAGCGCGCGCCTGCCTCTAATGTGCGTATGTAGAGGTTGCACATGTGTGTGCATGTGCACATACGTGTGTATGCGTATGCACACATCTAGGTATACACAGGTTTATGTGTTTGTACATGGGTAGATCGAGGTGTGTCTGTGATGCACATCTGCATGTCCACGAACACATGCATGCACGTGCAAGTAATTCTAAGGGTGTTCCAGGGCCCCCCTGGGAGATCTTTGCTGGTCCCCCCCTCTGGACGACTCTTGGCCCTCCCAGGCACGTGCGGTGGGCCTCCGAACGGCTCCAAGGCAGCCCGAGGTGGCTCCCAGACGGCCCAACAGTTGTTTGAGACGGCCGAAGAAACCCCAAGGTGGCACAACGTAATTTCAAGACGGCCCAAGAGGCCTCCCAGACGGCCCAAGAGGACCCACAGATTTTGTCCAAAGGGTCTCCGGAGAGAAGAGGTAGTTGTGAATGGTTACCGTGTTGTCGCATTTTCGGGCATCTGCGCGCCAGGGAGGGTCCCCATAGATCACCTGGACTGGCCCGAGAGGGCCCCCAAGACGTTTCCATGATGGTCTGCGACCGCCCCGAGACAGCGCACGAGGCTCCCAGGATCCCAAGACGGCCTGAGATGGTGCCGACCACGACGACGGCGACGATCACCCCGCGCGCGCAGTCCGGCAACAAGTTCCAGCGCGCCGCCGAGGAGGTCCGCAGGCGGCAAGCCTCGCTACACGTGCGGGCCCTGGGGCCCCGGCCGCGGCCCGCTCTCGGCGGCCTCCGGTGATCCTCCTCGTCCTCCGTCGCCTCCGCCTGCCGCTCCTCCTCCTCCTCTCCACCACCTCCTGCTCCTCCCCCTCCTGCTGCTCCTCGTCCTTCTTCTCCTCCTCCTGCTCCTCCTCCTCGTCCTCAAGTGTGAGTGCTACTCTCCTCTCTCCCCTGATGCTGCGCTGTGCTGGGGTGCCCCCCCCCCCACATGTTTTTTCACGTGCTGGGCTTCGCCAGTTTCTTCAATCGGACCGTTCTCTGTCCTTCAGCACACAAACGAGCTCCCAAATTGCCCTGGCGCTTTCGTCCGACGGGCCAGCAATCAAGCCGCACCGCTGGTCGTCGTCGTCGTTTCGTCTGGCCGTTCGCCGTCGTCGGCCCGATAGGTGATGTATTCTGACGTAGCCCATGTGCCGCGCAGCGGAGTATCATATGACAACCGAGTGTTTTTTGTTATTGGAGTCCGTGACGGCTGGCCAACACGAGGAGGAGAGGAGATTCTAGATGTACACGCTTCTACATGAGTCTGAATCTTCGAACACAAGGACTGAGGCCGCTCAGCAGGTAGAACAGCTAGTTCGCTGCACGTTTCTCACGAGCTACGCGTAGCAATCGCACCCGCCGCGCCCCCCCTGCTCTGCTTTGCTCACGCATCAGCTGGTGAGGTCGGATGTAGATCCCAAGTTGTCGACATGAGGAGGAGAGGGGATGATCTCTCTCTCTCTCTCTATCTCTCTCTTCTCTTCTCTTCTCTTCTCTTCTCTTCTTTTCTCCCTCCTATGTACATGTATTAGTGTATGTGATTGGATTGGTTTATTGTTATGTGTATAGGTTTATGTGTATGCTTATGTGTATGTTTCGATAGATGTACCCATACATATCTAGTTACATATATACATACATATGTACACATATACGTGTACATGTATGTATGCATGTATGCATGTATGTATGTATGTATGTATGTATGTATGTATATATATATATATATATATATATATATATATATATACTATACACATACATACACATGTATGACGGACTTCGGCCCATCCTGCCACTGTACCTGGGTTCTGGGTCTGAGGCCTCTTAGATGCGTGTTGGGATCTCTTCGAGGCCTCTCGGGGGCCTCCTAGAGGCAGTTTTGAGGCGCATCTGGGGCTGTTTTGGGGTCCTCTTGGGCCGTCCTTGGGGCCTCTCGGGGGCCTCTTGGAGGCCTCTTGGGGCCTCTTGAGGCCTATTGGGGCCTCCTATGACCTCCTGGGCGCCTCTTGTGGCGGAAAGCTTGGTGTTCCTCCTCTTGGGCCCATCTTGGGGCCGTCTTGGAACCCTCATGGGCCGTTTTGGGCGCCTCTGAGGCCGTCTTGGGGCCTTCTTGGGCCGTCTTGGGGCCGTCCTGGGGGCTTCTTGGGCTTTCTTGAGGGGTTGTTTGGTGCCTCTTGTGTATGGGGTGGAAGTACAAGGGTACAGAACCCCTGATCCGTTGGTAGAGAGAAGGAGGGATAGATGGATATCTTTCCCTCCCGCACGATCAAGGTCTGATCGATCTATCCCAATACCTGAGCCCAAACGGCCAGGCGCAGGAGAGGTAAGGATAAGGAGTATATATGAGGGTATTACACAGGTTCCATTCACACACCCCGTCCCGAATCCCGCCCGTGAGGGCAGGACTCGGGAACGAAGGAAGGGAATCCGTCACCCTTTGACTCCTTTAGTCCTTAAGTCAGGAGGCAGCTGGGCTTAACGTCGGTGTAGCCACAGCTGCAAAGTGAAGTAAGAAGGAACACCCTGGCTCCCCTTTTCTTCGCCAAGCACACATTGGTGCCCCCTCGGTGCGCCCCCCAAAACGCTTCGGCACTCGAGGGCGGAGAAGAATGAGACAAGGGTGGGCGGAGAAAGAAGATCTGAACATTAAAGCAACATGCAAACTGCCTCGCCTTTGCGAGGCAGGTGTTGCCACCAGCTATCAGATTATTCTCGACGCAATCAGGTTTAAACTTCTAAATATATGCATGTTAAGATCGTGTTGACAAACGCAATCTTGTAACGAAACACAACTCTGTGTAAAAGCACATGTCTGGCCAGACGGAATGTCGTGTTGATGAACACGAAAACTGCATGTGTATAAATTCTGATTGGCGGCTCCCGTTGGCGTTGCTCCTTAGGAGGCTGCCTCGGTTATCGCAAAAGGTATTTGTGTGTGTGGCCACTTGTGTTATATAATGAGGTGGCCTAAAAGTATATAATAGCCACCGCTCAAGGCGAACTTTGGTTATAATGAAGTTCATGCCTTTGAGCGGTGGGCCTTGCGGCCGACTCACTACGCGTTGCCGTTCTTGTAGAACCTGCGGTCCCACATCCTCTGGCCGTTGTACGTCACGTAGCTCGTCGTGAATGTTTCCCAAGCTGTCCTCGGGATCCAGTTGCGAAACCAATCATTGTACTGGATATCCTGGATGTATACGTACTCGTCGTTGTTGATCGCAATGTAGATCCAACAGTTGATGTAATAGCTCCAGTACCTGATGCCCCAGTAACTGTCCTCGAGGTCGTCGCGCCAGTAGGCGGCGTAATCTGATGTACGCGCTCTCTTGGCACGTGGCCCCGCGGGCGCGTGGTCCGTCGCGCCAGAGGCGCTGGACGCAGCAGCGTCGCCAGGGGCAGGGCGCGGCGGCGGCGGCGGATGGCGCGGCTCCATGGCATCATCGGACTGATGGGAGTGCGTATCGGGATCGGTTGGATCGGTTCTCACCCCTGCATCAACCCCCCTCTGGTCGGTATGCGACGGATCGAGGGAGCCCAACAATTCGTTGGCAATCGCGGCAAGCTTACGCTGAGTGAACTGTTCACGGGTGCCGTCCCTTCTAGGGAGGGCAATCGCGACCAGTCCGCGAGCCTGCCGCGCCTGCCTGTCGAGGCGGCCCTCGTTCAGCCACCATTTCTTCCGACCAGCCTGTCCTGTCCTAATGCTGACATCGAGGATGTCCCACGCATCGCGCATGTCGTCCACGGCCCAGGCCTTCTTGCCGACGTTCACGCGGGCATCTGTCATTTGGTGGTGGAATTTCAGGTCGTTGAGAAAGCGTTGTACGAGATTGGCGTATGGGTAGTACAGAGGTCTGTCGTCATCGGCTTCGCCCATCAGTCTGCAGTCGTGTGCAGGAGGGCTACCTGATTCGACCCACTTCCGATGCCTCTTCCTGGGCGAATTAGCCAATCTCCGCAACGAATCTTTCTCATTGCCTGCGTGTGATCGCGCACCCGTCATAATGACGTGCGCTCCGTCCTTCATGTATCTCGCGATCTGGTCCTCGGAGAGCGTCATCTTGATCCAGTTGGTCAGCTTTTGGAGGTACGCGAGATCGCTCTGTACGGCGGTACTCTTACCCGTGGCGCCTACGGCCACGGTATATTGCCAACAGATGTCACAAAGGGCGCCGTCACTTGCGACGATTCCAAGGGACAGATCTCGACCGCAATTCTGACAGAGCGGCATGGAATGCAAGATCGTCCCTGGGGCCCCTTCTGTCGTGAGGTAATCGCGGGATCCCCAGCGAGTGTCCTGACCGCGAGCGAGGCCCTGGCCGATCTGATTGATGGCCTCACGATTGATCTCGGTGTTCGGTCGGGAAGCGATTGATCTACTCAACCCCTCGATCTCGATCCTAGACAATCTTTCCCCTGGCAGTCCTTTGTACTCTGTCTTGGTGTTGCCCGTATCCTCGGTACCACCATGGCATATGTTCTCTGTGCGAAGACGGCGAGCCTTCTCCTGCAAGGCGGACTCGTTGTCGCCCTCCTCGCGCTTGAGTCCCGTCTGCTCGGCTATGATACGTGCCATGGTTTCCTGATCAGGAGCTGCGGATGCAACGCTGCCTGGGCCCTGGGGAATATCCTGCTCCGCGCCTTGCTCACGAGGCGCGGCAGGTGTTTCCACCAGCTCTTCCCATGCAGGAAAGTCTGGGTTACCGTATGTCTCGGTACAATACTTGAATAGGTCACGCAACGCCTGGAGTGCAGGATGTTTCTCATGGATGGCTTCTTTTGTGAAATATGAAAGCTCAGCAATACTATCTTTCAATATGTTCTGATATACTTTGGAGATCCATTGAAAGACGCCTGTGGTCGACTCCTCGATAGTCTCTGGGTCCAGGTAATGTACCAACTTTTGAAAAAAAAAAAAAAAAATGATCTGCGCTGCAATTTGGCAAGTCACGTGCCCATTTGTGGGTATGATCATAATTCAATTGGTATGGCGCTGCATTCCATGCTTTCGATCCAAATCGAATCTCAAATTGTAAATGCGATTGTGTTTTATCCATTGCAATTCTGTCCGCGCCGCTGTGTATCTCGATGATCTGTTTCATCTTTATCATAGGCGAATCCACCAACTCCGACGTCCAACGGTATATGCGGCAGTCATCTGACTGTTTAATACATCTTGAATCCTCGTCGGGGTCGCTGGATGGTTGAGGAATTCTGCTGGCGGGTCAATGATGTTGTCGAGTATGCTCGCCTCAACCTGCTCATCTGCTTGAATGTCTGCTGAGAGATCTGCTCTCATGTTGTCGTTCGCTGCTTTCTCATCGGCGGTGGGCGATATGCTCGATATATCCATGATCACGGCGACCAAAGGATCATTCGATGATCCTGCAGTTTGTCGAGGTTTATCGCCCGTAGGAGCGTTGTCCTCGGCAGGTGTGGCCACCAGCTCGTCGGGATCGGGTGCCCGAGGAGCGGGCCGTCTGGTCGGTGTACGCGGAATACGTGGTCTATAAATGCTCGGCATACCTAGGTATGGTAAATTACCATCCGTCTTGTGCTGGAGTATCTTTTCGCTGCATGATGTTGGACCTTTCAGGACGGTCTCCATATATGTCGGGTCAATGGCATGTTCTTCGATGCGAATCGGTAATGCAAAGACAGCGCCCTTGAGGGGCATGCTTTTGTCATTGTGCCATATGTTTA